GGGATTGATAGTGAGGGGATTAATAGTGAGGGGATTGTTAGTGAGGGTTATTTGTTTTCAGAGATAGAATGGAGGGGATTGATAGTGAGGGGATTAATAATGAGGGGATTGTTAGTGAGGGGATTGATAGTGAGGAATTGAGTAGTGAGGAATTGTTAAATTATTTTTATATAAAATAATAAAACAAATAAAAAAATATAAAAAATTAAAAATTATATTTTAAAAAAAATTTCCAATATATAAAAAATAAAAAAAATAAAAAAATTTCTAATCCCCTCACTATTTTTCTAATACCATCTCTACCTCCTCACTATGAATCCCCTCCCCAAGGGTATTAGTAATACCAAGGTATTAGTAATACCCTCCCTATCTCTCAAAACAAACAAGGTATTAGTAATACCAAGGTATTAGTTAGTCCCAAGGTATTAATAGTCCCAAGGCTATCTCTCAAAACAAACACCCCATATACTAATCCCAAGGTACTAGTAATCCTAATCCCCTTGCTATAACCCAAAACAAACGGGCCTTTGCTAAACTAGCACATGCCAAACAACTCCTGGGTTTCTGTTTCTTCATTTTTTTTCCTTATGTATTCTCTCTCTCTCTTGTTCATTGGCTATGTTTGTTTTTTGTTTTTTGTGTGTTAATTTTGTTTGTTCAATGAATTATTTATCCACAAAAAAAAATAAAAATAAAAGGCAAATTTATGTACTGTTCAAAAATTAGGGATTGTTTTGCTAGAATTTTGTAGGTACTGTAGTTGAATTTTTTTTACTTATCTTTATTATAAATTTGTATTTTAATTTCTACTATTTTAGCTAGTTTATAATTATTTTTTTAAAAAAATCTTTGATTCAAATTTTGTAATTTGAATTAATTTTTTTCTAATTCACTAATCTGTGTGGACCGCCAAGTCGAAATGACCATTATTTGCCAACAGTTCCGCTGGTTTGTGATGGAAAAATGGAGATTTCTAAAAGCAAATTTTCCAATACGTCACCCGTCAAGTGGTTTTTCTTTTAGCCTCAAACCACACCGTGCACACTCTTACCCACACCACTACCAAACATAGAAAAATATTTTAACAAAAAAATATTTTATTTCGCTAAAAAAATATTTTATATCTAAACAAATGGAACATTTGTAATTTCTTAATAATTTTAAGATAAAAATAAAATTATATAATTAAAAAAACTGAAAAAACAACGGGACAACCCAAACATAATAAAGGAGAAATTATTCAATGCTCCTAGAGTGAGTCTAAGTGGTGCTCCAAATAATTTGTTATTGGTCTAAATTGTGAGATCCACCATGTTTGTGTTGAAATTTTAAAAGACAAAATGTTAAGCGTCCTGGAATGGAGGATTGAATAATGGACAAATTACTTAGAAGTTCTATTTAAAAGATAAGTCAAAAAGTCAAAAAATTACCAAAAACGTTAAAAAGTTATCACTATTTACCAAAAAAAATATTAAAAAAATAATATACACATGTTAATACAAATAAAAAAAACACCCCAACATTGGTACTGACGTGATAGTGGAGTCATTGATCAGGGAAAAAAAAAACTTATAGTAAAATATTCACTAAATTGGATGGTAGAGCTGGGCCCGTGGGGGCTCATCATGGGTTTCATTTTGATAATCTAAACTGTTTAATATGTAAAACTTGTCTAGTACTATATGCCTATAAAAATCACGTCTATCAAATATTGCTAAATACATAATCAAATCAGTTTTGTATAAAAATGGATGATGTTATAGTTAATAGTTAATAAAAAAAACTAATATGATCAGATAGTTATCGATATCCAATCAACGTGATTTTTTACAAGCATATAGTACTCGACGAGTTCTACACATTGAACGGTTCCGATTAGTAAAACGGGACCTGCGGTGAGCCCCCATAGGCCGAACAGAATCGACCAATTTATGCCTGAAAAGTATAGAATCAATCTTTTACACTGCCCTCTGCCATGCTACCCTTTAGGCTTCCAACCGTACGCCCTATTCCATCTCTTTATTCCCTTATACACTTATTTATACAATTTTTTAATACATGTTTTTTCATAAAAAGTCAAAAAATGAACCTAAACATCCATATTTTTTTCCTCAGCTTTTTAGTCCAAAAAGACAAAAAATATACTTATTTAGGACACCTCAAACAACCCCTTAGGCCTAGTTTGGCATGTTCAAAAAAAGATAAAAAGTCAAAATATTACTTAAAAAGTTAAAAAGTTATCATTATTCACTAAAAAAAATATTAAAAATTTAATTTTACATACAAAATTACTAGACAAATCTGACCGGTTCAGATCTGCAGCTGCATTTTTTAAGAAAAATTGCACAGTTGGGGTGCAATTTTAACACACTGTTGTTTAGTCCGTGGGGGCCATCACGGGTCCCAGTTTGATAATCTAAACCGTTGAATGTGTAGAACTCGTCGAGTACTATATGTTTGTAAAAAATCACATTGATCGGATATCACTAACTATATGATCCAATCAGTTTTGTATAAAAAAATGGATGGTGTTATAGTTAACGATTGAAAAAAACTAATTTGATCAGATAACTATCGATATCCGATCAACATAATTTTTTTCAGGCATATAGTACTCGACGAGTTCTACATATTGAATAGTTCAGATTATCAAAACGGGACCCGTGATGGCCCCCACGGGCCGAACAACACCATCAAGTGCAATGTCCCGAAAAGTAGCCAATAATTTCTTAACATCAATCAGCTGCACAGATAGTACGGCTATACAACTCACACTCCTAATCTTCTCCCATACACTAATTTATACAAATTTTTAATACACATTTTTTCATAAAAAGTCAAAAAGTTAATACAAATAACCATCTTTTTTTTCTCAACTTTTTAGTCCAAAAAGTCAAAAAGTGCACTTATTTAGGACACCCCAAACAACCCCTTAGTCCCACAACCTTTTAGATACTCTCAAAAGTCCACTACGTATTTTTTTTTTTCATTATTTTTTGTGCATTCGTTCTTCTTTGCCTCTTTCTCTTCCTGATTTTCAGCGACTGACGACCATGCCTTGTTTATTTCTATTTTCTCTTTCTAATATACAGTTACCAGCAATTGACTACCACTGTTGATTGGGATGCACGGGCAACCACTGACCACCAACTTCTTACTTCACTCTCACCGATAACGAATGAGACAAGTTTCCGGCGAAGAAGATGAATAGATCTACTCAGATTTACATCAGATCTGAGTAGATCTACATGAGACCTGACTAAATTTAAACAAAAAATAGTTGTCGGAGTATAATATTCTTTCTATATTTGTTTCTCTCCTTTGATTTATCAATTTTTTGACATTTTCTCAGCTACACACTTTTTTTTTTTTTTTTTAATGGACAAAATTTTCAAATTTTGAACAAGTTGTTTTTAAATTTTAGTTACAAGCTGTAAAAATTGTAAAATTTTACAGTTTCAGTTTTTTTGGTGCTGAAATGAATCATTTTTTTAGTTGCAAAATTTTGCAGTTTCAAAACATTTTTTAGAACTGTAAAATTTTACTGTTTCATAACATGTTCTCCAATTTGATTAATGAGGATAAATGCTTAATATAATCATGCTTTGAAATAGAAAATTGTTACAGTTTCAAAGCTTACTTTTCAGTTTGATCAATATTGGAGATTATTTGTTTAAACCCTACAAAAATAAAAAAATAATATATATATTTTTTCGCATTGTTGTTTGTTGTTGTTATTTATTTTTTTCCCTTTCAGTTTATCAATATGTAGTACATTTTGTTATATTTTTTCACTATAATTTGTCCATTTATTTTTTTTGGCAATATTCTGGATATTCTGGTGAGTCTCTGATGACATTTTTGACGTCTAGTGAACATTTTGGATATTCCAGTAACTTCTAATGACGTTTAGAACATTTCGGCGATACTTCGGCGAACTTCCAGTGAACTTCTGGCGATACTCCGGTGACTTTCCGGTATGTTGAACATTCTGACGAGTCTCTGATGACCGTTTGACGGAAGTCTGGTAATGGTATGATGTAACAGCATTTTTAAATTTAATTTTTTTGATAAAAATTAAAAATATATAAAATTAATTGGTATAACTATTTTATTTTAGAATTAGATGAGTTTTAAATTTTATATAAGAAACTTATTGGTAAGTGTTCTGTGAATAATTTGTCTTAAAAAAATGATGATTTTTAACTTTTAAAAAACTATGCCCAAAATCCTCCCATTAACTCTTATACCCTATTATTATTATTATTTTTTATTTAAAAAATAAATTGTTAATATGTTAAGATAGGTTAATGGCGTAGTTATAGTTAGAAATGTAATCGGTTTGGTACGGTTGGTATTTAGGTGAAAAATTATACCGAATTGATAATATCGATTTTATTATTTTGAACACCGATACAGACCGCTTCTCCCACCAAACCGTACCGGACCGAACCGAACCGACTGGAACGGTTCGATTTGGTGCGGTTTAATCGGTTTATGATTTTTCAAACTTGAGTCATTTTTAAATATAATCATTAATCTGTATAAAAACATTAAATTAGTTATTTGTCTACCATTTCAAACATATCTAATTCATCCATTTAACACATACTTTTCAATTCCTAAATTAACAAACAAAAAAAAAACAAAAAAAAATTTCAAAAATACTAAAGTTTCAAGGATAATGAGTTAGAGTTATGATTATATATAATAAGAATAAAAATGATAAGATTAATTAATTAAGGTTAATAATTTATTATATTTATTAGTATCATTATATTATTAAATTATATATATATATATATATATATATTATAAATATAATATATGCTGAAGTGGTCCGTTTCGATTTAGATCGGTGTACAAGGTACTTAAATCGATATTGAATCGAAAATCGAAAATCAAAAAAATTCAAATTTAAAAATTACCTAGACCAATTTTCATTAAAAACACAGACTAATATAGCTGATTTAATTCGATTGAATCGATTTGATCGCTTACATGTTGTATTATGTTAATGGAGTAGTTATTGTATTGAATTCCATTTTCGAAAGGAAATTCCGCGACAAACGAACAACACTCACTCGCCAAACAGGAGACAGAGAGAGATCAGAGGCTTTAGGGTTAGGGTTTGACAATGGAGGGTTGGGATCCTAACACCAAGTCGACTCTAACGCAGATACCTCTTCTATCAACGAAAGCCGGCCCACGCGATGGTGCTGCATGGACGCAGAGGCTGAAGGAGGAGTACAAGTCATTGATCGCCTATACTTCCATGAACAAGTCCAAAGATAACGACTGGTTTCGCATCTCCGCTGCAAATCCCGAGGGCACCAGGTGGATCGGCAAGTGCTGGTACGTCCACAACCTTCTCAAGTACGAATTCGATCTCCAATTCGACATTCCCGTCACATACCCCTCCACCGCCCCTGAGATCGAGCTTCCCCAACTCGATGGCAAGACACATAAGGTATTTTGATTGGTGGCAATTTTGGTTTCAATTTTTTTTTGATCAATTTGGTTCTGTGTTTGTTGTAATTTAATGGGTTTTTGTTTTTTTTTCGGTGGGTTTGGGGGTTTTAGATGTATAGAGGAGGGAAGATTTGCTTGACGGTGCATTTCAAGCCTCTTTGGGCCAAGAATTGGTATGGTTATGTCTTCTTTATTTCTTTTGAAATTGTGATTATATCTTGTGTTTAACTGGAATTTATAACTGCATTGTGATTATTACTGATTGAAAAAAAAGAACAAGTCCGTGTTTGTGTGATCTGTGGGGGGTTTTGTGCTTAATTGAAATTTGGATATGATTTGTTATTTTTGGTCTTGAATAAATTGATTTGGAAGAAATTTTTTGGGGAGATTACAAATAAACCCTAAGACCATACTTGTTTACCTGTTTGGGGAGGAGGATTGGATTGCTAAACCTTGGGCTCGGTCAAAAGCATATTTGGTTGGGACAAAGTGACATGGGACTAAGACCATTTTCCCCTCATTTGTAAACCACCCCCCCTGTAATCTCTGTGTAAACAATAACTCCTCTACTGCCAACTCAACTTCACCTCCACCTCCATTGGAGCACCTTCATTTCCATCTCCACTGCCACCTCCATTGGACCACGTCCTCCTCTATCCACTAAACCACAACTACATCCTCCAACACAGTCACCACTTGTGTGATGATGGGTTTGTCCCAGGCGATTTTGGCGTATCACAAGAGAAAAAGGAAGCATGTGATTGGGGAGGGAACGAGTGTGTCTGGGTCTCGTTGATTTCTTATAGATCCATACATGTCTATATATATACATCTATATGTCGGCTACTAGTGAGCACAAATGGGGTGGCGTGATAGGGTAGCAGTGATTGAAGGATATGGGGGAATCTTTCTACGTTTGTGTTGTAGATCTCTTCATTTTTGTCCTTTGTGGTAGCTTCAGGGGTTGGACGCGGTAGGATGTGGGGAAGAAGGGGATTATGGGGGTTAATAGAATGTGGTAGTGAAGGGGCTGAGGGTGGTAGGGAAGGGCTGGGGAGGAAGGGGGAGGGGTTGGGGTGGCAAGGGTTGGCGGTGGGTTGGAGATCAAAGTTGTGTAGTGGTGAGGTTGAAAGGGAGGGAGAACAAAGAGGTAGAGGGGGAGGAAGATTAGGGAGGTAGAGAGAGACTAGTGAAGGGGAGGAAGAACAAGGGATGAAAGGGGGAACAACACTGGAATTGGAGGTGGAGAGAGAGGGGAGCGTTGTTGGGAAAGGGGGAGAAGGGAAGAGGTGTGATCCTATATGATCAACCCATAGTAGGATCAATACTTAGTTTGAAGAACTAATGAGAGAGTGCCACTTGACATACTAAGAAGCATTAACATTGACACACGGATGTAGACATGGACATGGGACATGGCGATTTCAAAAATGTGAATGGGGACATGTACATGGGCTATGAAGTACGGACACGGACATAGACACGCATATGGATACGGACATAGGACACGATAATTTCTAAAAAATGGGAATATGGACATGACAAGGGACATGGCAATTTTTTTAATTTTTTTATAAGTATTTTTATTTTAATACACATTAATTATTTTATTTATTTATTATATTTTTTAAATAATGTGTTATTATAAATTTATTTTTTCATTTTTAATTGATATATTTTTAATATATACATATATATTATGAATAAATAATTATAATAAATAAGGAATAATAAATTATGTTAAAATAAATAAAAAGAAAGATTAGATATTTTATTTTATAATTTTTTTATTATATATGATTTAATTAGATTTCTTTTAAATAATTAGATGATTTATTTTATTTATTATATGTTAAAAAGTTATGAAATAATAAATTACAAAAATTATTATTATATATGATATTTTAAAAAATAATAATTAGATATTTTATTATACATGATAAAAATTATAATTTATAAATTTTATTATATATATTATATATATTATATATGATCAATTATCTTATATAAAGTAAATTATATGCAAACAGAGAGAGAGAGAGAGAGAGAGAGAGAGAGCGACGAAGACGAAGACGAAGATGAAGAAGACGATTGGAGACCAACCACCGACCATTGACGACTCACCAGCGAAGAGCTTCTAGGTATACCCGACGACCCTCTCTCTCTCTCTCTCGTTCTGAGTTCGATTTTGAGCTTCTAGAAATGGATCTGGTTTTGTGTTTTACGAATTGACCCCATACAAGTTTCATAAATTAAAAATGAGCCCCGTCGTGTCCCATGCGGTGTCCCGATATGGATACGCTTGTTCTTGTCGTGTCCCCGCCGTGTCCCCTACAAAACAAATCATTTAATTAAAGGGACATGCCATCTGGCGTGTCCCGTATGTGTTCGCATGTCAGACACTGCCACGGCACCGATTTTGGAGTGTCCATGCTTCATAGGATATGGGCAAGGACAAGACAATAAAAAAATATAACACTAATGCAATATAAAAAAACAATTCACTTTGAAGTTTATTCTTATCATTTATGTCATTTTTATAGATGATCTATTAATTATTTAAATCTATGAAGAGAGTAATAAACAATCAACATCCATCAAAAGCACTAAAGAAGAGGACAAAAAAACCAAGTGGCTTGTCGCTTGAAAACAAATTAATTAAATACAAGGACACACTAGTTGGCGTGTCATGTATGTGTCCTAGTGTTCCCACCATCTCCTCGTGTTTGACACCATCACGACACTTCTTATGGAGTGTTGGTGTGTCATAGCCAACAGATGACGGACAAATGGTCAAGATTGTGTCCATTTTAAAAGTTTAGGTTTTATTTGATAAAATTAAAAATTTAGGGTTTAATTGTTGTAAGGATTAAACCTTGGGGTTATTTATTTAATTTTCTGAAGATTTTTTTATTGGGTATTGCTTGGAATGTAATTCGATATTTATCCTATAACTTGATGAATTTTGGATGCCATTGGTTAACATTCATGTGTTTCTATTTATTTGGTTGCTGACCCAATTGAGTGGGGCGGAGAAAAAGAAAACATAAGGGGTGGTTTGGGATGATCCAAATAAGTGCACTTTTTAACTTTTTATGAAATATGAGTTGGTATGGGTTGGGTTTGAAGTGATGTGTTAGAGAAGTGATGTGATTTAAATAAGATGATGTGACTTAAATATGATAGTGACTTTTTGACTTTTTAACTTTTTTAGATCATGCCAAACAAGACCTAAATTTCAGTCAAATTGAATTTTTGTAGGTTTGGCGGAGTTGTAACATTTTCCCTTCTTTAGTAATAGGTTCATGATTTAAATTTTTTTCCTCGTTTTGGGAATAATGGAATTGTTGGTGACTTGTTCTTCTGACGACTTTTTTTGTTTTGTCAGCCCAAGGTTTGGAATAGCACATGCCCTTTGTTTGGGTCTTGCACCATGGCTTGCAGCAGAGGTTCCCATTCTTGTGGATTCTGGTATGATTAAGCACAAAGACGATATTGCCTCAGCCAGTGAGTCTTAGTAATTTTAGGTACTGCTGAGGGTGTAATGATGATGTTTAACTTTTCACAGAGATCATATTTTGGGTAAAAAATAAATGTTGAATCGTTGATGTGTAATTTATGGGTTCACTGCAAGGTTTACAATAGATATATTGTCAAAATTGATTTTTTTGATCTGAAACATGAATTTTGAAAAGCTTCTTGCCCTCTAGACTAGAGTTTGGAAATTGGTTATGTTATGCAAAATGAGACTGATATATATGTATATCGTTTTACTTAGTTTTCTACGTATTTTTTATATACTGATTTAGTTCTTGTTCGTTGACATGCTATGAGGAAAGTAATGCCCATGCTTATCCTGAGTTCTCATTTTGTCCTGTACATATTTTTTGCTTGTAAATCATTAGTTGAAAATGTTAAATGAAGATGTTGTTAATCTCTTTGGACCGATATTGCCTTTTTGAATTTTGAATTGTATTCATGTCCAAAACTCTTTTTCATCTGGAAATAGTATTTTTTATGTGATGTTTGCAAGTAGTCTTTCATAAATATATTCTGTAACATGCAGATGCATTACAGTCTTTTTCTCTTCCTGTTCCACAGTATCGTTGTTAATATAAGTTATTGATTGATGACAACCTCATATTTATTGAAGGTGAGGTTGCTTTCTATGTCATTTTAAGATGTTGCTTATAATCTAGTGACTAGTTGGAGTTGAACTTTAGGACTCAATTGAATATTTACTTACTTCGGAATATCATGATTCAATCGTTGATAGTTGAATAGAAAAATGGAAATGGAAAATGCATTTCTAACTTGAAAATATCAGTTGTGTCTTCATGAAGTTGGATGAAGAAGTATTTGATTGAAGTGTCATTAAGTTTGGAAAACGAAGAGGGATAAATTAAAAATGCAGTTGCACACACTGCCATATTTCAAGTGACCATTTTGCATGCTATAAGCTAATTTAAGGTTATATGCTAAAACTGAAACAAGCTGCAACACAACTAGGTTGAGTTTGTGACTTTGTGTTGGATTGCTTTGGATAGAAGACCAACCTCAATGTCACGCCAGGAGCTGAATAGGTTGTGTTTGTGACCCTACATGTGTCGTTGGTTTTAGGAACAGAACCTAGTGTAGTTAGTGATTTGGCAAACTAAAGCACTCATTTGGCGATAAGTCCACTCGGCTTATCACATCATTTGCTCTTTTTACTTTTTATCCTCTTCAACCCTTGCTAGGTTATGTTAGATGGTGTTGTTTGGATTAGGGTAGTAGAATCATGTCATTTTGGATATTTTGAACACCCGTTGGCACACATCTCTGGATTTCTGTCTTGACACTGCCTATACACAATCCACAATTAGTATCTGCATTCGCTTTATGCATTGACAATCTCAGCCTCACAGGAAGAATATGTCAACAGGTTTCCACGCTAATAAAATACTAGAATTAATAAAAATAAGAAACCGTTTGATTCTACTTTATTCTTATTCAGTTTCTATAAACAGGTTTTTGAGGAATCCGTAGAGTCCACCATAGTTACTGTTTTGATGATCCGAATTGTTCACTTTGTAGGATATTCATTTAAAAAATCAAGATAATCGAACGTTGGTGGCTATATGATTGAATTAAATTTATATTACAAAAAATAGATGATTATTTTTAAAATTATATTTGTCATCTATTTTTTGTTTTAAAAACAAATATGATCAAAAAATATAGCCACTGAAGTCCAATCATCTTGATTTTTGGTATGAATATTTTACTCAATGAGTCTAAAAAGTGAACAGTTTGGATAATTAGAATTGATTCTAAAATGGACACAAACATTCGCTCAAATTGAGATCCCCATTTAAGTGAAGTCAAATCCTTTTAGTTATTTGGAACTAGAACCAAACCTTTTAAATTAATTCACATTGAATTACTAGTTTCACATTTTTTTCCCCGCAAAGACCTCTACACGAATATCATAAGTTGGGCTTACTAGATGTTTTTTTCCAGCAATGTTAGGAACCTAGAATTTTTAATTGGAAAAATACCAAGAAAAAGTATTAAATGGTTGAATTATTAACCTCAAGGGCTTGGCCTAATAGGTGCAGTTTGGGACTTGGGGGTGTGTTCCCTCCAGGTCTTAGGTTTAACTCCAATTAGATGCTATCAACTCCTTAGGGCCACGCTCGCTGTTTTGCCTGAAATTTGCTTGATTGACATGGAGGGATGCTTTGCGTAAGTTTTGGGATTAGTCGAGGTATGAGTAAGTTGGTTTAGACACCTGATCATCGAAAAAAGAAAGAAAGAATGGATCTCATTGTACTAAATTGAATATGAAAAATGAGTCAGACCCCCTTTGTGGAGGACCCTCACAACCCCCTTAGTGATCTACACCATTCATGTATGTGTGGGGCCCACTCATGTATGTGTGGGGTCCACATCATGAATGGTGTGGATCACAAAGGGGGTTGTGGGGGTCTCTATCAACAAAGTGGAAAAATTATTAGGTGGTTCAAGATCACGACGTACAAATCACCAAATTGCCAAGCTTCTATGATGTTTTTCTATGTTCCAGCACAAAGTCTAGGTCGTATTTCCCTTACAAATCACAACATTCTTGGTCCTGTTTCATTAGTTGAAATATTAGTGATGGGATTAACAATTTCATCAGATTAATAATCTCATAAGATAATTATATGTAGGATTATTAATACCCACCCTTCTTGAGATTAAGTATACTATAATTTTGTAAAATTAAGATTACATTATTAAATGGGATGCTGTTTACGTAATTCAAAAGCAAGAATATAAATTTGATAGGATTAATAATCTAATCATTTGTTGTTATATATATTATATATATATATATATATATATATATATATATGATTCAAATAATTTGTTGTTATATTGGAATCAAACACGCCTTTGAAGTACGAGTCTGACCATGCCCCAGTAACAACACATTGATTTGTTTTTATGAATAACGTCCGCTACATGTGTTTTGAATTTGTTCGTGGGTAGGATTGATCTGATATCAGTAAGTACACATAATTAAATTATATTGATTTGTTTTATAAAATTAAACGATAAAATATGATTTTGAAAATATATTTTTTTAATTTTATGTTATTAATTTTTTTTTTTTTTTAAAACAAATGTAATTTCGGCCTTATTTGTCATAACATAAAAACGTTAAAAATTAAAAAGTCACTATTCTATTTAAGTCGCATCATCTTATTTAAATCATATCATTTCTCCACCACATCACTTCAAACTCAACCCATACCCAATCCATATTTCATAAAAAATAAAAAAGTGCACTTATTTAGAACATCTCAAACCATTCCTAATCATTTTGTTATCGATGTATGATCAATTTAATTTAATTAACTTTTTTTTTATGTAAATGTTTTTTTTAAAGTTGTGTTTAGTTGAGAGATTTATAGAGGGATTTGGAAAGGAAAATGAAAAATGAGTGCGAAATTAGGTAAAATATAGATATATTTTATTTACATTTCACATAACTTTTCTCTTTTCTAAATTTCTCAATCAAACGCAATCTTAATGAAATCTACAAAATGAAGGATTCAAATCATTCAAACTAAACTTTAGAAATAATTCCCTCCTAGCCAAACAATACTTCTCCAATTGAATCAGCAACCGAAATTGGAGTTGAACCACAAAACAAAAGGTAATAATGATTCAATACAGCTTACCATTGTTGACCCTTGGAGCAAAACCTTCATTTCTTGTGTTCACACACTACCAAATTATTTAATTACAATTCACAGCCCTCGTATTGGCAGTTTCCAGCTCCTTATGTGTATATCTCAAGTCTCTCAACCCTCTTCACTCTCCATCATCTTCTTACTTTTACCACTGCCGGCTGCCACCGCTGACCGGCCTTAAAACCACCACTAAACATGTTGGCTTCTGATAGTAGGAATACAATTGCAAATGATGGGTATCAATCTATGGAATTGTGCCGTCGTTTTTCACTTGCTGAGATGCAATCCGCGACCAACAACTTCAATGATGCCTTGTTCATTGGAAAGGCGGATTTGGTAAGGTGTATAAAGGGTTCATCGATGATGAATCCAATGAATCCACCACTATTGCCATCAAGCGGTTGAATACTGAGTCCAAGCAAGGTGCAAAAGAGTTTTGGACAGAGATCAAGGCGCTTTCCAAGCTCTGACACAATCATCTCGTCACTTTGATTGGCTATTCCGATGATTGTGTCGAGATGATACTCATTTACGAATATATGGCCAATGGGACGCTTGCCGAACATCTCTACAAAATTAATAAAGGAAACGGCCATTATCTGACTTGGGAACAAAGACTCAATATTTGCATTGGTGCCGCCAATGGATTGAACTACCTTCATACTAATACTGAGCAAAGTGTCATACACAGGGATGTGAAGACCACAAACATCCTGTTGGATAAGAATTGGGCTGCTAAGATTTCAGATTTTGGTTTGTCCAAAATGGACTCGACTAGCCATACTCAATCCCACGTTAGTACAGATGTTAAAGGCATGTTTGGTTACTTGGATCCAGAGTATTTCTTGACGCGTAGACTTACCAAGAAATCAGATGCCTATACCTTTGGCGTAGTGTTGTTTGAGGTGTTATGTGCGAAGCTACCAGTGGATATAAGTGTTGAAGAGGAGCAACGCAGTTTAGCGCTATGGGCTCAACACTGCATAAAAAAGGGAACGGTCGATCAAATCATTGATCCTTCTTTAAGAGGACAAATATCGCCATATTGTTTGAAGATGTTTACAGATTTTGCAAACAAATGTTTACATAATCATCCAAAAGGAAGGCCTACAATAGCTGAAGTAGTGGGAAGCTTGGAGGGCATGTTGGCATCACAAGGCAATATACCTCGACGCAAGGGAATAATCACCAAAATGTTTTTGATTATTTCGAATGTAGTAGCTAAAGGTTTTGATCTTAGGTGGAGGATGGGGAAGGGCCTTGGTTCTAAGAGTGGACAGCCATGGCAGGTGCAGAGGGATCCATTTGCGGTTGGTGCCATCCAATTATACCGTCATTTATCGTTGGAAGAGATTCGAGCTGCCACAAATAATTTTCACAAACGTTTGATCGGGCACGGTGCTTATACCGTAGTGCATAGAGGTCGTATGGGGAATCTTGATGTGGCAATTAAAAGGTGGAAAGAAGGGGCATATGAGTGGAATTTGGAGCAAATTAGGTCTGAGATCCAAGTGCAATCCCAACTGCGTCACCTCCACATTGTTTCTTTTATTGGATACTACAATGACAAGTATGAGGTAATCCTCGTGTATCAGTATATGGTCAATGGGTCTCTGTACGATTATCTCTATGAAACTGACAAAGATCCTCTTCCATGGGAGAAGCCTCTAGAGATTTGCATTGGTGTTGCACGAGGACTACAATACCTCAATGCAGGTACGAAACAGGCATTCATTCACTGCAACCTGAAACCGACCAACATTCTGTTGGATGAGAATTTGCGTACGTGATAAGGGGATTGAACGTCCATCAATGGATGATGTGCTGGGTAGCCTCTGGTGTGCATTGCAGCTGCAGAAGACTTGGCCGAATTGTAACAAGTTCCATGTCTTATCAAGCTTAAATTCTAGACCTTTATTAGTAAATAAAGGCTAACTTAGGCCTTGTTTAGGAATTGACTATTTTAGTTCGTTTTGTGATTTTTTATAAAAAGATATGCAGAAAAATAAAAGAGTGATGTGACAATTCATAGTAACTTTTTGACTAAAATCTTAAATCCCCAATCAAGGCCAAAAGCTTCCAACAAATTGTCAAGAAGAATAAACCCTAGAGAAAAAAACACAATATACCAGCACCATGGAAGCAATGGACAAGTTGTCCATATCTACACATGTATTTAGTGCATCTTAAATTTCAAAACATACTTCTCGTGAACAATAATCATAATTGCTGTGAGAAAAAGGATAGAAGAAAACATATTTGAATATTTATTAAAAAAAAAATTTTGTTTGGGCATTTTTTGTTTTACACGATACTAAATTAAAAACAAATCACTTGATATCAAAGTATTGGATCTTATACTTTCAATTTTATTTTAAAGTGGTATTTCCGTCACTTATCGTTAGAATTTTAAACTAATAAATACCATGTGCAAAATTAGAGGGACTAAAAAAAATTAAAAAATAAATAAATTTAAGGACTACTTATGTGATTTATTCATTACACTAGTAGTACTTATAGTTTCTTTTAGTTATACTCTAACCCCTCTTATTTTGTATGCCACTTTATTTTTTTAGTTAAAATATTGACGACATATGATGAATAAATTATATTAAAACAAAATTGAAAATATAATATTCAAATGAAGTCCCACATGGAGCATATCCTCTCAAGTGTGCGTAGGAATGTTCTCCACGCCTTTACCATGGAAATTGCGGCAGATGGAAACCCCAAGGATATCTCAGTAAAGCAACCCCCATCACATATATCCATGGACGGACCATGAGTTTTTATATAGGGCGAAATGTATTTATACTAACCAATTTCTTAAAAAGGAAGTATGAATTATAATATTAATTTTATTAATATAAAAAGTAAAAATAAGATAAAAAATATATAAATAACGTAAAATGTCTATTATAAAATCAAGATTAAAATATTATACAAGCCTCTTTTGGCAAGAGGTTAAAAGTCAATTTTTTGGTTTTTAATTTTTTTTAGATCACATCACCTCTTTATATTTTTTATACATTTTTTCAAAAAAAATCAAAAAGCTAGTTTTTGAACGTGATCAAATAACTAGTTGATATCTTATTCTATTTTTTTACAGACTAGGGTTTCTAATTAACACTAGTTACAAGAAATTAATTTCTTGTATTATATTTTGTCTATTTTTTTTCAATTTTATATTTTGATCTCATGTTTTATAGATATGGAGTGTCAGTCATTTAAAACTTTTTTTAAAAATTTAGAGAGGATGACCACTTAAACTTTGTAAAAGAAAAAACCTTAGAGGGAGGGAGCCTTTTATAGATAATTGGAATTAGGCCCTGTTTGGAGACTTACTTTTTTAGTCAATTAGTCAAAAAATTACTAAATTAGCCAAAAAGTCAACAACTCATACCAAAAAAGTCAAAGATTCTCTTTTCTCTCTACTTTTTGCACATCTTTTCGAAATTAGCCAAAAAGTCATCACAAACATACAAGTTTTTTTTACCTACCTTTTTAGCCAAATAGCCAAAAAGTTACTAAGCCTCCGTTTGGGAAGTGGGTTGGCTTTTTGGCTTTTTGGCTTTTTTGGCTATTTTAGCCTGGGCTAAAAAGTTTGGTTTGGGAATGGCTTTTTGGCTTTTTGACTTTTTTGGCTTTTTTTGTGAGAGAAGAATGTAATGATTATGGGTTGGATGTGATATTTTGTTTTTTGTGGCTAAAATAGCCTATTTTGTTTTTTGTGGCTAAAATAGCCAAAAAAGCCCCGTTTAGCTCTTGCCAAACGGAGGCTAAATTAGCATGTTCCCAAACGAGGCCTTAATACTACTATAATAAAAGATGTTTTTGAAATTGTAAGAGGAATCGCCCCCTCTTACCCCCTCTAGATGCATCCTTACATATATTTGTTAGACAATCTTTACTGTATTCAAAGAATAGATTAAGAAGGAAGAAAATAGATTAAGAAGGAAGAAAGTTTGTTTGAGTACTAAATACTGAAACAAAATATATAAAAAAATATGGAAAAAACCGATTTTATTTTATTACAGAAACAAAATAGAATCTAAAAAAAATTAAATAATATGAAACTAGAAAATAAACTAAAATACTTACAGTATTACTTTTTCGGAAATGACCAAATCCAGTGTTTGACACTGTTTCTTTAAGACATATTCGTCCTCTCCACAGTGCTATCAGAATCTAGACGTCTATCTCTCAGGATAAAATGATTGACAACAATTAGTAACAACACTACACACTAATTGTTCAGCGAACACACTTTGTGTATATACTTTCTCTCAAAAAAACAAATGCAGAAGTATGCAGGAAGAAGAAGAACGGAAAAACAAATTAAAAGAACAAATAGAGGATTGCCTATTTATAGAAGACATGGTGGTTGTTCGGGACAGAATTGAATAGGCATGGAATCTATTTGGGTTTGGAGGGAAAAAACTGAAAAGATATGTTAAACAAAACTGCTAACGTTCAGAAATGTTGGTGTCATTTCAAAATTTATTTTGAATTTCAAATAGAATTTTAAATTCCAAACGGTAAGAATTTAATTTAGAAAGAATAAAATTCAAAAGTTTTTGACCCAAAAAGATAAGTGTTGGATTGGACAACATCGAGCCCAACCCAACCTCACACTCGCACCCAAGCTCGGTTCAGTTCGAACAGGCGGCGGCGCGCATGTGTGGTTGTTTTTGGATCTAATGAGTCAAGGCTCACTTTACCCATAACCTCCCTCTCCACAAAACTTGGGCGCCCATTGGGGCCCTTCCCAAGATGCAAACTCAAGACTTATAAACCCAGAACATGCTTGCCCGCCCAAGCAATGTAGGACAAGCTTTTCTTCATCTCTTATGGAAAAATAACCAAAACACGATTTTCATGGAGCTCACTTTAGCATCAAATTCTCATTCACCAAATAATGATTTTGAGCAATCAAATATACAACGTGAATCGTTACGCGTCAAAGAACACGTTGCCACACAGACCTGCCAACTTTGGCACATGGGTCACACTTTAAATATAGGCCAAAGTTTAGGAAAAAAAATTGTTTTTCCCAAACCATTTCTAACAATCCCCCACATGAATGGAATTAGATGACAACGGAAATGCAACAATATGCAGAATTGTCGAGAGAGCATAAATCGAAAATACCTTGCATCAGGATAGGTAGCTTTTGGCTTTGAACCTTCCCTAGTGATAACCTATCGGACGTACTAACTAACCAATGGATGCGATGCTTTAAATTGTTCAGCCATTTTTGTAAGCCAAAACAATAGATTTCACACAAAGTATCTTATGACACATCGTGGTTCTCACGGTTGTGTTCATTTTGGCCCTGAACGTTCCTGGTTATTCATGAGTGCTCTAGAGAATTTAGCCTCTTTATCCTCATAGAACCGGCCTTAGTTCAACACTTATATAGGTGATTCTTATTGCAAGTATCCCTTTATACTCGGTATGATTTTTATGCCTAAATCAAGATATAAGTAATCATTAAAAGCAAAACTTATCCTTAAACCTTACATACAACACATGTTGCAGATATCACTCTCACCATAAGAATGGATAGGGAATTTTGATCCCTTGTTGATTTCTGACAAGCCACGCATAACTTAGCTGTCCCTTTGAACTTAGTTCTTGGGATCTCCAGTCATCTAAATAGGATTACCATTATGATGCTTCTTATGTAATAGGCTTTAAACCTGTTCTCTTCAATGAACTATACACTTGCTCTTTTGCTAAACTTTTTGTTAACGGATCCGCAATATTCTATTTAGACTTCATATAGTCCATTGAGATTATACCAATTGTCTTACGGTATTATGTAGACAATGAACATTTTGTGACTTACGATTATACATATGACTTTGTACCCTTCCTATTGCAGATTGACTATCACAATGAATGTAAATAACTGGCACAGATTTTGGCCACATTGGAATGTCTTCTAAGAAATGACAAAGCCATGTTGCTTCTTTTCATACTTTATCTAAAGTAATGAACTCAGATTCCATTGTGAACCGTGTAATGCCTTTTTGTTTCAAGGATTTTCAAGAAACAGCTGCACCCTCCAGAGTAAAGACATAACCACTAGTGGATTTTGAATCTTTAGTATCCGATATCCAATTGGCATCACAATAGCCTTTGAGTATTGTTGGATATCGAGTAAAGTTTAGACCATGATCACGGGTAAATCTTAGATACCTAACAACCCAAGTCATTGCTTTCCAATGATTTTCTCCAGGGTTACTAATGTACCTGCTTAACTTATTGACAACATATGCTATATCAGGACATGTGCAGTTCATTAGGTACATTAGACTTTCAATGATCTGGGAGTATTTTAACTGAGACATCCCATCACCTTTATTTTTTTGACAAATAAAGATTGACATCTATAGGTGTTCTTGCCACATTTACATCATCCTTGATGTATTTACTAAGTATTTTCTCAATATAATGTGATTGAGACAATACATATTCGTAAGATGTTTTAGTAATTTTCATTCCTAGAATAACATCTACTACTCCCATATCTTTCATATCAAATCTGTGGTTCAGCATTTGCTTGGTTGATTTGATCATATCATGACTGCTACCAATTATGAGCATGCCATCCACATAAAGACAAACTATGACATGCCTTTGTCAGTGTTTTTAACATAGACACACTTGTCGTATTCATTTATCTCAAATCCATTAGTTAGTACAACATAATCAAATTTCTCATGCCATTACTTAGGAGCTTGTTTCAAACCATAGAGAGATTTTACAAGCCGACACACTTTCT